ATTGGTCCCCTTTGTTAAAAATCAAGGACTAAAAAGGTCCTCGATTAAAAATGTTGAGGACTTATGAGGGAACTTAAAAAGCAGATGGATGATAAGTGCAGTTAAGCAACACATGACCCGTAAATGGACAAAGCAAACAGAACAAACATACCATTGTTGACAAAAACCAGAAAGTGTATCAGCAGATAGATGGTTTGGCCCAACATTTAAAAATTGCAGCATCGAATATAGTCATGACAGTAAAGACAGATAGTAACCAAACATTTTGCATACCATAAGTTGTAATGACAATCAATGACAACAAAGAGATTGTAAGAAGACCAACACAATCTTCCATTCATTTCACAGCAATGGCAACAATGAAAAATAGTAATAACAGCAGAGGTATAGTATTTCACAGAACATATTCCATTCATATCATCACTTTGTACTTACAATTCCAACTGACATAATATACCTTTAAGTAGGAACACTTTGTCTTCCCAAAAAACAAAGTTTTCATACTTAATATGGCCATAACCAGAGGCATACAAAAAAAGCCATTGGTGAATCATTTGAACAGGGCCAAAACCAAACTAATACCAAAAAATTGGCCTAATTACAATTCCATAAAACTGGCCTAATAACAAAAAAATGCCAACTGTCACATTTGAACTGGCCTAATGTCAGTTATTATAACACTTGTTTTTCAAATCATTTATGCGGGGCTGGCCTGGTGGCCTAAATCCTGGTGTAGACATGAAGCTCATGAATCTGGCTCTGGTGCCACTGCTAGTTGCAGCTGCTGTCTCACTGGTCACCGCCTCAGCAGGATTGCATGGAGGTGGGCTGCTGCCTCTTGAAGCTCTTGCTTCAACTGCACTTGTTGCATGCTGGCTGCTTGTCTCTGGTGCAGGGCAGCCCTGACTCGTGCTGATTTCTTCAACTGTCCTTGACTGGCCTGCTTCAACATTAACCGGTTTTGTCTTTGACTTTGAACCACCAGCAAGTCCCTTACATGTCTTCGGGTAATGACCAGTCTCACCACACTTGGAGCATTGAACTGTGTAAGTCTTTCTAAGCTTCTTGTTGGTCTTCATAAGCTCTTCAATGGGATCATTCTTCCGAAGCTTTTTTGGAAGTTCAACAGGCCTTTTCAAGCGTGGAGGAAGTGGTTTTGGGGAATCACAAGCTGGCCAATATTGTTGGGAATTGACTGGGTTGAGTGTGTGTTCATAAGTAGCATGCAAAGCATCCACTGTCAGCCATTGATGAACATGATTTTCCACAGGTTCATTCTTGTGTGCAATGGCAGCAATGGCATGTTCACAAGGCAATCCAGTTAGCTGCCAAACATTACAACTACAAGATTGTTGAGTTAAATTCACCCCAACACGTTGACCCTTTCCAGATACTTCATATAGATCTTGGACCAAGTTTCCAGTCCATGTTGGTGTCCAAGAATTGCTTGCAACCTTCAACTGGTCCAGCCTCTTCTGCTGTGCAGGTGCAATCTTACCCCTAAAGGTTTGTAGAATCATCTTGTGTGCTGCCATCCTTCGCATTATGTAGCACCTCAATTCCTCACATAATATTGGCAATGCTTGTGGAATAGGTTGGGGGTGACTTGCAATTTGCAACTGGAGCCAGGGTTGCTCCTCAACAGCTCAGCCAGATATTCTCTTAGTCTTCCATATTGTTCCTTCTCACAACCTTCAATTGTTCCCTTTGCTTTTTTTAAAGCCTTGCTTACTTTCTTCATATCCAAATGAACATTGTATTCCTCCTTCATGTGCTCAAATGCCTCTGACCTGGATATCTTGGGCTGTGTTAGTATTCTCTTCTCCAATTTCTTGGCCACCTAATCTCGAGTAGCCCTTTTATTTTTGAAGACTCTGCAGCATGTATGAGTCTCGTTAAAAGTCTTTATTTGGAATGTGCTTAGCTTGGTGTTCCAGGCACAATACACCATCCATTCATAGTCTTCTATACTGCATTTGGCCCTTACTCTGACCTTGTCATTCTTAACCCAGATGAAGTTCTTCCCAAGACTGATATTATAGTCAACCACTTCACACTTAAATTGGTCCAAATTCATAAACTCCATACCAAGTTCTAAATAGACATGCCCAAAAGAAGCTTGTTCATTAAACTTTGGCAAGACAGGTCTAACATTCTCATCATCATCACTTGAAGGAGGTGTCCTCAACTCCTCAGACAGATAGGTATATCCTTCTTCCTCCAATGACATTATGTCTTCCTCTTCATCAAATTCTTCAGATTCAGAATCTTGAATTGGGGCATCCTTCTTGACTGCCTTCCTCCTTGGGGTCTGTTTTGCAGGCCTTTTTTCTCTACCAATGGCATATTGACCTCATCATCATCTTCTGAATCATCCTCAACACCAGGTGGGGGAGGCTTGTATACCTCATCCTCTGCACTCTCATATGAATCTGAGTGCGAGGAAGCAACCTCATCATCTGCATTATCATATTCAGACCCATTACTAGCATCCTCTGCACTTTCATCATCATGGTCCGAATTGATCTCATCATCATGTAAATTCAAGACATCAGCACCCTGTGCAGCTTGTTCATTTTCTTTGATCTCATCATCATGTAAATTATGGCAATCAGCAGCCTGTGCATGGTCTTCATTTTCTTTGACCCCATCATCACCTTGTGCATTGTCTTCATGTGAATTGACCCCATCATCAACCTCTTCATAGTCCTCATTATATGCTGAATTAATGACATTATCCTCTTCACTGTCAAGTTGAGGTGAACCAAACTCGGGAATTGAGATGCAGTCCTCAAAGTAGACATGTATCTCATTGCCATTTCCTAAAGCAGCCTCACACATGGCACACACATCCAAATCTGTACTAAGTGGTCTCAGCCCTTGTTCCAAATCGGGTACCCCAGGCTGTAGCCACATCATTTTCTTGCATTTTTCATACCCATATTGCTTAAACAGGGTGTCAAGGTCACAGAGATTGCAGTAGTCAATGGCCATCTCTGGCAATGAGTCTACCCTTCCATTTATATAGGTCATCACTCCATCTTCATCTCTGACTAAAATACCACCATGATGATAAACAATCACTATGTATTCGGACATCTGTCAAAACCAAAAAACCAAACCTATAATTAATCCAACGACCACAGGCTTTAGACCACTTAAACAATACAAAGCAATAAAAAAAGCAACATTTTTTATCGATGCTGACTTTTTTCCAACGATTACCATAGGGTTTTTAATTGTTACTGGGTCAACCATGGCCCTTTTTCTAAAACAGGGACCACACCACCCGGTAGTTACATTCTTTAACACAAAACCCTAAATGGAAACATGGACCACAATGTCCACTTCGCATGCAGAACAAAACAAGCATTAAACAAAAGGGAACAACATGGGGACCACAAACAAAGGATGACAAAGAACAATAAAAAAATGTTCCAACATATAAAGACTCTCTTACCTTTTTGTATGGAAGGTTCAGCCTCACACAAAACAAAGATCTTTTCTTCCACTGGTTCCCTCCGATTGTTGAAAAACTTCGTAATCCAAACGCTGGCGAGTGTTTACTCCACGGTCATCTTCCTTCCTTCTCAACAATGGACCGTCTAAGTTAGAAGATAAGGAAATGGTAAAGTGTCCAACGGTTAAGTGAGGGGCAATTTTGGGTTTAATAAAAAATGGTCTGACCAACATGGATGAGTCTCCCAAAACGACGTCGTTCCTCAACCCACGTGGCCTTCAGCATGTTCCTGAACGTGACATATCATCACCGTCATTGACACCGTGAGTTTTGGATTGACAGAAGGACTAACGTGGGTCCTGTTTCACTTTGTTGGGGACTATCTAACGAGTTTTTTTTGTGAGGGACTAATTTGGGCACCGAGTTTTTTGTCAGGGACTAATTTGGGTCTTTACTCAAGAACAAATTATCTTATAAAATTAGAAGTTGCAAGTTTTAGGAAAATAAAAATAATTATGTCTATTGATTTTGTGAGAATTTTTGATTAATTTAATTTTTTAATAATTAATATATTTAGATTTTTTTTAATAATCTTATGGGAAGAAAACAAAATTTATTGTTGATGTAATTGCTGATTGTGGGGCAATTTTTTTATTAAGCTTGCAGATATTCCTTTTTTTCTTCTTCAAGTCTGGGTAATTTTATTGCTGATGTAAGAGCTGATTCTGATTTTGTCAATTTGAAAAGAATTTCTGACCTTGCTTTGAAGATGGTTGAGAAGAGAAAGGATATTATTTATCCATTCGTCTATTTGTTGATAAAGTTGGTACTTGTTCTACCGGTAGCAATTGCTAGTGTTGAGCGAGTTTTTTCTGCAATGACTTTTGTTAAGGATAAGTTGCGCAATCGGAAAAGTGATGATTGACTTCATGCATGTATACTAACTTATGTTGAATGTGATGTATTTGATTAGATTGATAATGAAGATATAATACAATATTTTTAAGGAATGAAGAATCGAAGAATACTTTTATAATCATTCTATTGTAATAGCATAGTTGACTTTTGATTATTATTTTTTATGTTAAGTTAAAATTTTCTTTTCTTTTCTTGTTTATATTCTTTTATTTTTTTAATGCATTTAAAACTTTCTTTAAAAAAGAAATTAAGAGCAGCCACCACTAAATGTACAGACATAAATAATATTTTCTGTGTTCGCCCGATTGCATTCTTTAATTTTTTATTTTTTTCATCAAACTAATGCATATACCAAAACAAGGAAATGAATGCTCTCATGTGAAAAAAAAACATGATATGGTCATGTGAGAAGATCACTACCATACAAATGTAAATCAACAGTTATGATTTTGTAAATACCTATTTTAACATTTTTTCTCTCTTCTCCTTTATTACCACTTATCCATCTTTGTATAGATATAATTCTCCACATGACATGGTCATGTGAATTTTCACATGAAATGATCCAGATCCACCAAAACAATGATATAATGAAATGTTCCAGGTGTTATGAAATGCTTATCTATTTGCTATCAACAGCCAGTAGCATGGTAGCACTAATTACAAGAAAATTTGCACATCTCTCATCCCATCCATTAACCATCATGGTCAATAGCAAGTGATACAAAATCCAAGTTCCAATTTCTATGTAACTCTGACCTCCTCACCTACCTTTCTACATACAAAGACCTCTTGACAAGAGGCAGCTATAAGTAGTAGTCAATTCATCAGTTACCCTTTCCCTGGAATCTCATAAGGGCTTGTCCTAAAATGCTCTCAAGGGTTAAACAACCAAAAATCCTCATTCCTCACACTCACTCAAGAAAAGTAAAAAAAGGTGCAATTAATGGTCCAAGCAAGGGCACAAGAGCCAAATATCTATTAAAAAAAAAAAAAGAGAGAGAGGAGGATTTTAGTGGTCAATTTGAAAAGTAGTGCCATTAATCCTTGTAGCCATGCCGAACACCCATGAAGTAATTAAAGTCATGATGCTGGACCCTTAGTTGCTTCAACCATGAATCTGCCACGCTCTGTAGTGAAACCAACCTTTCATGGTCCCTACCACAATTGCCTGAGACCCAAACTTTCCCTTGCATCTTGTACGTGGCCAAACCAAATGGTGGCAGGAAAATGCCTTCACCTTTCTTTCTCTTCTTGTGGGCTCCCTCAGTATCATCATCAAGGTCCATATCTATACAAATATGATCAAAAGTTCAATTCAGTGCATGTTTTTCCCTCAAAATTTACAGTTTTAGTGGAGTGATTTTTACCTTGGAATGAAGATGAAAGTGTGTGGTAAGTAAGGAAAGATGTTGAAAGATCTTTAATTGTTCTTCCCATGGGTATATGATATATTGGGTACCTGAAAACAGTCAATATGAGTGGATATTCATCAATTGATCATAATAAATAATCAAACTCACTAGAAAGCCTAACATCAATGATACATGTTGGGCTCAATTTCGAATGTGTTTAAACTATATATCATGACTATATTTTTGGAAGAATAAGGGCAAAGAGAAAATAGAACATGTTCAAAATTAATTACCAAGCAACTGCCATCCAACTTGCTGGTGAAAGATCTACACTTCTTAGTGACATCAACCCAGGGTATCTTTCAGCTAACCCAGTAATCTGAAAGCAAGGAACCAATTGGTCAGCAATAGAATCTTCATACTTCTTTTACATTACCGGTTATGCGAAAGGAACCTTTTATGTTTACAGTAAAAAATTAACATGTTATCACAATTGTCTTTTATTTAAGTATTTTTATCATTAAATTCATTTTTTAAACAACAGGAATATAATTTTTAAAAGTAATTGTTTAATATGCGAAAGGAAATTTTCATCTGTACAGGGATATATCATTAAATTTGTCTTTACGAAGAACTAAAGTAATAATCTAAAAGGACAAATTTAATAATTATTTCATATCTTTAAAAAGTAATTTTATAATAAAAATTTTTAAAAAAACTAATGTGATGACCCATCAAATTTTAAAAGACTAATTAGAGACATTTAATCTTTATTTAATAAACAATCACTGTAATGGAAGCAATGCAAACTGCAAGGTTTTGGAAGGAGAACATATGCTTAAGAAGTGTAATAATTATTGTATTGAAAAAAAAAAACGAAAGGTTACTAAGTTAGCCTGGGCAGAGGAGAATTAGTTCTCTGGATTCACATTGAAGAGTCAAAAATCACAGTTTACCTTTTATGGATGCCTATCAGAAAAAATTTTGGGACATTAGACCACACCTCTTATTAAATTAAAAAAAAAAATAAAAACATTCCCTTTTCTGAGCGTGAATCATCTCATGTTAAAATTTTACATGACTTGATTATGTGAAATTTTTATGTTTATATTTCTTTTTATATAAATTAAATAAGTGGGGTCCAATAAAAAAAATATATAGAAACTAAATTTCATATGACGGTGATATAAAATTTTAACATACATGATCTATTCCCCTGTCCCTATCCCTATGCATAGTCTATGATCTTGTTGGGAATAGGAAAATCAGAATATGGATATAGATGAAATGCTATTCAAGCCTTCAATAAATAATAAACAACAGAAAAAGATGAAAAAGTCAGAAATGTGCAACAAGAGCAAAACAACACACCTTATCCATTAGAGGAACTCTCCCATATGGAGTTGATCTTTCAAAATACTGGAAATAAAGGTGACCCAATCGGTCATTTAAATGCCACAGGTAGTCTTGTTCAAATCCTCCCTCGTCTGATGAAGTTCCATCCCACCTCCATTGCTTATCACACTCACTCTCATCACTGTAAGAATCACTATAGGAATCCCTTGTCTCACAGTCACCAGACTCTGTCTCTTCCCTGAAATTACTCATTCAAATTTATGCATTAAGTTCCCGTGACACCACTTGATATGCTACCAATCATGAAGCCGAGAACCATGCACAACACAATTTACAAAATCACTCCAAAAGTAAATGAAAACAAAAACCAATTCACAAAGTATCAAAAAAAAAGTTTGACCTTTAAGAATATTAGCACCACCAAATATGATTATGAGTTATGACATATATTGGGAACATCAATGGAAACAAAAGCTTTCAAATTGAAAGAAAACATGCCAAAACTAAAAAAAGATTGAACAACCCCACAATTATGCAAATTTGTACCTGAAAGTATTGCTGGTGAATATTTGAATTGCAGAGAGGTAAGGCACATAGTACTGCACAAGTGTTTCCCCATTGGCCAAGGATATAGGAACTCCAGCTCCATAGGCACTCCATTCATGGAAGCAATTCCAGAGATCACCCAAAGTGAAATATTCAACTGCTTCTCTCTCCCAAGGATGCCACAAACGGTTAAGGTTTCTAATCTCGTTCTGTCGAAAAAACCAAACACGATGAATTTAGGATCAAACAATCTATGATCAAATGGGAGCACGAAACACAATAAAAACAACCAGAAAAATAGAAACAATACCTTGGGAAGAAACTGAGATGGTACCACAGGGGTGGTACACCGGAGGAAGCAGTCAAGGTTAGACTTAGATTCCATTGAACCTTTATCAAAAGTCACTGTGTGAGAGACAGAAAAAAAAAAGTAAAAGAACAACGAGGGAGTTTCAGATTCAATCCCAACCCTGAAAGACAATGAGAAACCAGAAGTGGGGAAAACAAAGGTAGAGAGAAAGAGAGCTTGAGAAATTGTTTATGATTGAAAATTTTGTTTCTTTCAAAAGAAAAGAAAGAGAATTGAAAGGTAAATAACCCCAACAATAAATGGGTCAAAGACTTGTATAATTTAGCGTTTTGACACCGAATTTTTTCCCCGCAAAAATCTCAATCTAGCTGTCTCTTTTATTTCTCTGTTTTTAACATATAGTGACTTGACCAGCAATGTTGTTATAAATTCAACACACTATATACTATACCTCTTTCTGCTGCAGACTCGGAAATTGGAAGAAAGGAAAGCTAAACACGGTGGAGAAAATTTTCTTTTCCCTTTTTTTTTTCCTCAACAGACACCCATGTTTGTGCGACCAGAAACCGTTACGAGGAAATGATGTTCCATGAGGGAAACTGAAAAACGATGGTCTTTTCCGGGAAATGAGAATAAAAAAATTGACAGAAACAACGGCGAGTGTGGAACGGTGATGGAGGAAACAAATGTATCAAAATTAAAAATATCCAAACAGGGAAAAGAGGCTCTGTTTTCTAGAAACACCGAATTTATGATGAAGGTGCGAAGCACGAGTAAATATATATGATGGACTCAGTGCAAAGCAAAGCTATAACCATCCGCATCACTGAACATTTCTAAAATTCATGCGTTTTTTTTTTTTTTATATAAATCAAGTGTATTTTATACGATAGGCCACGTCAAAATTAAGACTTTAAAAGGTTGTTTGATGGACACGATAAGATAAGAACTGATAGGATAAAAGAGTTGAATAAGCATAGAATATGATATGGGACTCATAAACTTATATCATATCTTGTGTTATTTGATGAGCAATTAACAATTTGATAAGATTATGAAATTTATTCTGTTTAAGATAATCCAATTCAGAAATTAGGGTTTAGGGTTCTTGTGGAGAAATTTGTTCTGATTAGGAACAATAAATCCTAGAATTGGGGTTCTTGTGGAGAAACAAGGTGAGGAAACTCAGGAATCTTTTCGCGAAAAGGCAAGGAATAATTTTCAGCTCACAAATTCAAAGGAAATTTTAACAAAGGAAAAAAATGGAAAATCTTTAGATGATGGAGAGAGAAAAAATTAAAAGTACGAGTTCATGAACCTGCTATATAGATGAATGAAGAGACACTTGAAACTGAATGCTCCAACCACACCAAACTGCGTCGAGCCTCACTCGCATGAGAAGAAGAGAGAAGGGGAGTTCAACAAGGACGAGTAGGAGGGAGATGGTCGAGATGGAGGAGTGGGTTTGGAAGGGAGGTAGCGTGGTCGCGTGGGGATAAAATAGGAGTGGGTATCCCATTTTGGTATCTTATCCTGCTGTTGAATTCTAACCCAGCTCATCATGTTGAATTCTAACTCAACTCCCTTCATAGGATAAGAAATCATGTATTAGATAGGATAAAATGAGACGATAGATAAGTTAATCATATCCTATTGACCCACTAAACAAGAGATAAAAGTAAAATATGATAAATTATTTTATTTTATCTTCTTTATCAGGTACTCCAAACATCTAAACTCCTTTAAAAAATAATATTGGAAAGATATATTCTTACCTCACTTCCTCAATTCCAATAAGTCAATTAAGCTAGCACTTTTTGATATGCACGTTTCTCTATTAATTAATTTTATCAGAGAGGAAACTTATTTCTTATTTAAAGTTACTTTTATATTATAAATAATTATGTTATAAAATTTATTGTTAAATTATGAATATATTCAAGATTTAAATAAAATGTATTATTAAAATGAGATAGGATATTATGCCTACAACCTACCTTTTTCATATCTATTATATCTATTTATAGGGGTGTTCGTGATCTGGATTGGATCAGTTTTAGAAGCAAAAATCATAGGATCCAATTCCTTCGGTTTGATCATGTAATCATCCATTTGGTTTGGATTTTTTTTCAAATCCGATCTGATCCAATCCAATTTTTTTCGGTTTGAATTGAATCGATTTTCGGTTTTGTTTTTTATAATCCTAAAATTTGTTTCATTATTATTGTGCAAATAATATCTTTTGTATATATTGACTTTGCAAATTTTTATTTTTTGAAATACAAAAATATCGGCAAACGATAATATAATTTTTTTTTTTGGCCATTGAGATATGAAGCTCTACATGTCAACAAGCTCACAAACCGTTACTGTTGTATCTGTTCCGATAGGCTTTAGTTGTTAGCAAATTGTTAGCTAGGTTGTTATTATTTGCTGTTATCCTTTAGTTTTTTGATTTGCTGTTAGCATACACTTGTATTTGCTATTTTATCTCTTTCAGTTGTAACATACTTCTGTATTTAAGACAGAAGAATCCTTCAATGAAATCATCGAAAACTTCAAGCCAAATACACTTCCGCTATTGAATCTATCATGGTATCAATAGGTTCAAAATCCAGGAACCATTAATCCTTCAATCTTCAACCCTTCTCATCCTACAACTATCATGACTGACAACCAAAATAACACCCCAACCCCACCACCACTCAAATCATCTGATTCACGTTCCCCTCTGTATCTCTCTCCCGCTGACAGTCTAGGCATTCTCCTTACAAATATCTTCCTTAAAGGCGATTCCAACTATGACACTTGGAGCAGAGCTATGAAAAATTCTCTGGATGCCAAGAATAAGCTAGGCATCATTGACGGCTCCGTGACAGCACCGGCAGACGCAAATTCAGATGACTTTCATGCTTGGAGAATATGTAACTCCATGATCTCCGACTGGATTCACAATACAATTGAATCCCAGCTTCGTCCCTTCATCAAGTATTTCCCTACAGCCAAACAATTATGGGATGACTTAAAAGACAGGTATTGTGTTGCTAATATCCCTCGCATATACCAGCTCAAAACACTTCTCCCTACCATTAAGCAACAAGGATCCACCATTAGCTCGTACTACACCCGTCTTCGAGCTATCTGGGATGAACTTGAGGAGCACTATACCTCAGACCCATGCTCAAACGGTGCTGATTGTCCAGTCACCAAGCTTCTCACCAAAATCATAAATAATGATCAGGTTTATCAATTCTTGATGGGTCTAGACGAAGCTACATTCGGCATTATCCGCTCTCAGATTTTAAACACAAACCCACTTCCCTCACTTAACCGCATTTATTCTATGGCTACTCAAGAAGAAACTCACAAGAATATCATCCGCACAACACCTAACATCGTTGATGCTGTTGGTTATGCCATTCAAACCAAACCTCCTCCTTTCACAGGCTCCAAACCTCCACAACGTATCTGCAACCATTGTGGCAGACCAAACCATGACGTCTCCAAATGCTTTTTCCTTCATGGTTTCCCTCCCAAACAGCCTTCCAAGGACCGCTACAAGCCTAAACCTCCTCATCCTTCCGCACATGCAGCACTCTTGCCCACTCCTTCCACAACTTCAAGACTTCTGCCAACTCCATCACCAACGCATGCGGTTGAATCATCCCCTACTCTTACACCAGATGTACTGCAACGCTTATTGTCCCTTGTTGACAAACCTGATTCAGAAAAGTTACCTGGTAATGACACTCAACCTTCATGGTTAATTGATAGTGGGGCTTCTCAACATATGACAGGTAATTTACACCTGCTACATAACCCTCACGATATTGCACCTTCTCCGGTTTGACTCCCCAATGGATCCACCACCACTGCCCTAAAAGAAGGAACCGTTTATCTCTCCTCCTCTCTTGTATTGCATAATGTTTTACTAGTTCCAAACCTTACATGCAATCTCATATCTGTCTCTCACCTTCTTAAATCTTCTTCCACAACCATTCTCTTTAACAACTCCTCATGTTTTCTGCAGGACCCCATCACCAAGACGCAGACTGGATTGGATAGATTGGTCAATGGAGTTTATGTCCTCCAACCCAGACATCAAGCATACGTTGTTCAAGCACAAACCAAATTATGGCATAATCGACTGGGACACCCCTCGTATGATGTTTTTTCCTTCCTAATTTTTCTTCTGGTTTTAGCAAAAATAAAACACACATTTGTTATGTATGTTGTCGAGCAAAAATGTCTCGCATTCCTTTTCCTTTGAGGAATAATAAAACCTCACATTGTTTTCAACTTGTTCATGGTGATGTTTGGGGACCGTATAGCTGTTCTACACTCACAAGAGCACGTTATTTTCTGACTTTAGTGGATGACTATACTAAAACAACATGAGTTTATCTCATGCATGAAAAATCTGAAACACATTCATTCATCACTAAGTTTCTTGCTATGATCAAAACTCAATTTGGCAAGCCACTCCAAACACTAAGAACTGATAACGGTTCTGAATTCCTTTCAAACAAAATGCAAACCTTGATTTCCAATCTAGGTATCATTCATCAAACAACTTGCATATACACACCACAACAAAATGGGTGTGTTGAACGAAAGCATCGCAGCATTTTAAACACAGCACGTGCCCTCCGCTTTCAGAGTTCTCTTCCGGTAGAATATTGGAGTGAATGCATCCTAACCGCAGCTCATCTCCTCAATCGTACACCGAACAAGCTTCTTCAAGGAAAAACACCATATGAACTTTTACATGGACGACCTCCCTCATATTCTCCCCTCCGCACATTTGGTTGTCTGTGCTATGCATCCATCCACCCCAAGCCATCTTATAAATTTGCACCACGGTCGTCCCGTTGTGTTTTCCTTGGTTATCCTTTTGGAAAAAAGGGTTGGCGTCTGCTTGAACTTGCAACCAATAACATCATAATATCCAGAGATGTCCGTTTTGAGGAATCAACATTTCCTTTTGCCACAGACACTACCCCTCCTCCTCCCACGATTGCCATACAGCTGCCAACATATCCTACTCCTCTTCATACAGCACCTGAACCACCTTCCCAAACCCATATTCCTGACATTATCCCATCGTCCCATGACAGGGGGAGTAACCCTTCTTCACCCTTACATACAGAATCTCCCCCACCTTTACCTGATACTTCTACCCATACTCAAGCCTTCCCAAATGTACCTGACCAATGCCAAGCCTCCCCAAATGAACCTGAACCTTGTCTCAACATCCTGTCTCATCCTCAACGCACCAGACGGTCACCTAAATACATCGATGACTACTCTTGTTATCACATGAAGGCGCATAAACTCCAATATCAATCATTTTCTCCATTTATTTCTTCTGATGTAAGGTATCCTCTTGAAAACTACATTTCTTATACATCATTTACACCCAAACACATCAATTTTCTGGCAGCCTTAACTACAGGTCTGGAACCATCATCCTACAAAGAGGCAGCAACAGATGAACGCTGGTGCGACGCCATGAAAGCCGAAATAAAAGAACTCCAAGATAATGAAACTTGGACACTCACAACACTTACTCAGGGCAAACGTGTTATACCTTGCAAATGGATTTATCGAATCAAATACAAGTCAGACGGCTCTGTGGAACGGTATAAAGCACGCCTCGTTGTTGCTGGTAATCATCAGGTAGACGGTGAGGATTTCACAGAGACCTTTGCTCCTGTCACAAAAATGGTAAGTGTCAGATCCTTTCT